TCCCCGACGGTTGCAAGCAGTTGGGAGCGAACTTCAGGATTGCCCTGCAACCGCTTGCGGCTCCACGGCCAAGCCATGCACTTGTGTTTTTTTGCCGCCCTTTGCCGTCTGCAGGCCAAGTGGCGCCTCTCAACGCGCGTGTTGGGACGTTCTGACAAACATGCCCATTTGAAGTTGCGGTAGGGGCCAAGGCCCGCCCTCTTCTTAATACAGTGTACAGGAAGTCCCTGGCAGGATTGGGAGCACGTGCGCGATGATGAGGACAACAATCTGAGGTTGCCAGTATATCGTCAGCCTCCGCAAAATTGGGAACGGGTTTCCAAACGCCCACCCAGATTCGCAAGGCTGGTCTTGCCACCTTGCTGGGAGTTGCTAGGGGCCGCTGGTCAGTTTCGGGGGAGCGTAAGACTCGAGTTTGACGGAGCTGTGGTTCGCCGCAGCTTTTTCACGAGCTCGTCCTGGATCTTGACGTTCCATTTTCGTGGGGGGGGTGTTTGCAGCGGGAGCTCGCGTCAAATTTCAGACTGGGTCTTGTCTTTTTCCCGGCGGCCCCGTCAGGCCAACCCAGGTGCTCCGGACCCGACTTTTACGTCTCCCTGACGGTTGCAAGCAGTTGGGAGCGAACTTCAGGATTGCCCTGCAACCGCTTGCGGCTCCACGGCCAAGCCATGCACTTGTGTTTTGCCGCCCTTTGCCGTCTGCAGGCCAAGTGGCGCCCCTCAACGCGCGTGTGTGCAGCGGGAGCTCGCGTCAAATTTCAGACTGGGTCTTGTCGTTTTCCCGACGGTCCCTTCAGGCCAACCCAGGTGCTCCGGACCCGACTCTTACGTCTCCCCGACGGTTGCAAGCAGTTGGGAGCGAACTTCAGGATTGCCCTGCAACCGCTTGCGGTTCCAAGGCCAAGCCATGCACTTGTTTTTTTGCCGCCCTTTGCCGTCTGCAGGCCAAGTGGCGCCTCTCAACGCGCGTGTTGGGACGTTCTGACAAACATGCCCATTTGAAGTTGCGGTAGGGGCCGATGCCCGCCCTCTTCTTAATACAGTGTGCAGGAAGTCCCTAGCAGGATTTGGAGCACGTGCGCGATGATGAGAAAAACAATCTGAGGTTGCCAGTATACGTCAGCCTCCGCAAAATTGGGAACGGGTTTCCAAACGCCCACCCAGATTCGCAAGGCTGGTCTTGCCACCTTGCCACCTTGCTGGGAGTTGCTAGGGGCCGCTGGTCAGTTTCGGGGGAGCGTAAGACTCGAGTTTGACGGAGCTGTGGTTCGCCGCAGCTTTTTCACGAGCTCGTCCTGGATCTTCACGTTCCATTTTCGTGGGGGGGTGTTTGCAGCGGGAGCTCGCGTCAAATTTCAGACTGGGTCTTGTCTTTTTCCCGACGGCCCCGTCAGGCCAACCCAGGTGCTCCGGACCCGACTCTTACGTCTCCCCGACGGTTGCAAGCAGTTGGGAGCGAATTTCAGGATTGCCCTGCAACCGCTTGCGGCTCCACGGCCAAGCCATGCACTTGTGTTTTTGTTCCCGCCCTTTGCCGTCTGCAGGCCAAGTGGCGCCTCTCAACGCGCGTGTTGGGACGTTCTGACAAACATGCCCATTTGAAGTTGCGGTAGGGGCCAAGGCCCGCCCTCTTCTTAATACAGTGTGCAGGAAGTCCCTAGCAGGATTTGGAGCACGTGCGCGATGATGAGAAAAACAATCTGAGGTTGCCAGTATATCGTCAGCCTCCGCAAAATTGGGAACGGGTTTCCAAACGCCCACCCAGATTCGCAAGGCTGGTCTTGCCACCTTGCTGGGAGTTGCTAGGGGCCGCTGGTCAGTTTCGGGGGAGCGTAAGACTCGAGTTTGACGGAGCTGTGGTTCGCCGCAGCTTTTTCACGAGCTCGTCCTGGATCTTCACGTTCCATTTTCGTGGGGGGGTGTTTGCAGCGGGAGCTCGCGTCAAATTTCAGACTGGGTCTTGTCTTTTTCCCGACGGCCCCGTCAGACGAACCCGGGTCCTCCGGACCCGACTCTTACGTCTCCCCGACGGTTGCAAGCAGTTGGGAGCGAATTTCAGGATTGCCCTGCAACCGCTTGCGGCTCCAAGGCCAAGCCATGCACTTGTTTTTCTGCCGCCCTTTGCCGTCTGCAGGCCAAGTGGCGCCTTAAATGCACACTTGAGGTTGCCGATATTGCGTCAGCCTCCACACAGCAACATTGGGAATGGGGTCACGCCCACCCAGATTCACTGGCTCACGCCGCAACGCCGATCATGTCTAGGTCCAGGGCCGAGGTGGAGTCCGTGCAGCCCAAGGGTGGCACTGTGCGCGAGGTGGCGGCGGCGCTGCGGTCAGATGCCCCCCCCCTCCCCCCGGATGGGATAGGGGGGGCGGAGGGGGAGGGGGAGGCCAAGTGGCGCCCCTCGACCCGCGTGTGGGGACGTTCTGGCTCAACTGTCAAAGCCTCTACACGGCAGGGTTGGGAATGGGCTCACGCCCGCCCAGATCCGCATGGTTTTTACGTTCTTTATATTTGTTTTTTTTATTTTTTTTTTTTTTTTTTTTGCATTTTTTTTTTATTTGTTTGTTTTTGTTTTTTTATGTTTTTTTTTTTGTTCTTTTCTTTTTTGTCTCTTTTATCTTGATTTTTTTATTTATTATTTTTTTTGTTTTTTTTGTTCACTTTTTTTTTTGTAATTTTTTACTTTTTTTTCTTTTTTTTGTGTCGTTTTATTCTTTTTATTTTTGTTTTTTTTTTTTAATCTTTGTTTTTTTTTTTTTTTATTTTTGTTTACTTTGTGTGTTTTTGTTTTTCTTGTTTTTTTTATTTTTTTGCTTGTTTTTTTTTTGATGTGTAATCTTTTTTTTTTCTTTTTTTTCTTTTTCTTACTGTTTTTCTTTTCCTTTTTGTTTCTTTTTTTTGTTTTTACTTTTTTTCTCCTTTTTTTTTCTTGTGTTTGCGCTTTTTTTGTTGCCTAGCGCGTCGCCGCAGCGCCGATCCCTCTGTGGGGCACCGCTGCGGGGTCGGAGCGGGCACGGCTCCGACGTCTGCCTCGATGTCCGCTGCTTGGGCCCTGAAGCGTGCGCGTGGCCCGAGCGCGCACAGCTCGTGGCCCGGGCGGGCCCCGGCTCGCACCAGTGCCGCGCCGAGGGCAGATCGGGGGCGGAAAAGAGGGGGGTGATGACTAGGAGGGGGTGGATATCATGGTGGGGGCCATGATATTTCCCCAGATTTCATGGCGCTTCTTCTTATCTCATTACGTCCCTGGCCCCCCGCTGGGCCGCGCACATGCCGCCGGTCATGATTTGCACCCCCCCCTCTTGGACACCCCCCTCTTGGCCGCTCCCGAGGAGAGCCGCGGGGCCAGTGGCAAGCAACACGGCGGGCACGGCTCCGAAGCTGGTTCGATGTCCCTCTGCCGAGCCCCTCACGGTCTCTTCTCGGGCCCCCGTTCGGGCGTCAGCGCTGGTGAGTGCGTGTTCAGCACCCCGTGGGTTCGTCGGCGCCTGGGGATGTTGTTGGGAGCTCGTGTGGGTGCTGTATGGATGTGTCGGAGCTTGTGGGGTTCTGTCGTAGGCGGGGTGCATGTGGAGTGGCCGTCGGTTCATGCCGCCGCGGGGCCAGGAGGCCTCTGGGGAGTGCGGGCGTGTGGGTAGGCTTTCTTGGAACTTTGCCGAGGCCTCCTGCTTTTTTTTCGGTGGGCATTGGGGGCTTCCAGAAGCGTCTGGGGAGGACGTGTTGAGTGGTTTGGGCAATTTTGGGGGGTGGCTGCCAAGAGCTCTGCGCTTTCTACGTCCTGGGCCCCATCGTGAGTGCCTATTGGGGTGCCTCTTGGGAGCCTTTTGGAGGCCTCTTGGAGGCCTCTTGGAGGGCTCTTTGGGCTTCTTGCGGTGCCTCGGGCTAGTTTTCCTTCAGGGCACCCTCGCTTTCCCCCTCTTGGGCCCCTGTTTGGGCCATCTTGGGCGCTTGCCGTCTTAGAGGCCTCGTAGGCCGTCTGGGGGCCCTCTTGAGCGGTTCGGGCCTCGTGTTGCCTTCTTGGCGGCCCTGTCGGAGCCCTCAGGGAGCGTTTTGGGAGCATCTGGAGGGCCCTTTGGGGTCTCTGGGGTGCTTCTGAGCGGTGCCTGGGGCTGCTGTGGCCCCAGGGGGGCACCTCCAGAGCGTTGCAGGGCCAGATGAGTCCGCGGGCCCCTCCGACCAAGCCAGTCCCCTCGGAGAGGGAAACGAAAATTAAAAAAAACCTCGAGACCCTTGCCCCACGCCCCTCCTTTCCTTCCCCCCTCCCCCGAGGGTAAACAAAAGAGCCACGAGGGCAAGCCCGCTCCGAGGGAGATAACAGATGAGCCTCGAGGGAAAGCAGGAAAAGCCTCCCCCTTTGGGGAGGGCCAGCTGTCTCGCACGCCGAGCAGCCCCAGGGGGGCGGCGACTGCGTGCGTGTTTTTTGCTTGGCGCCGCGCGCGCGAGCCACGGGATCTGCGGCGCCCGCGCCGGTGCCTCTCCACCGGAGCCCCTCGCCGCGCGCCCTCCTTGGAGCCCTCCTCCCTCCTCCCTCCTCCCTCCTCCTCCTCCTCCTCCTCCTCCTCCCTCCTCCCTCCTCCCTCCTCCCTCCTCTCCTCCCTCCTCTCCTCCTCCCTCATCTCCTCCCTCCTCTCCTCTCTTCCTCTCCTCCTCTACTCTCCTCCTCCTCCTCCTCCTCCTCCTCCTCCTCCGCCTCCTCCGCCTCCTCTCCTCCCTCAGCCTCCTCCTCCTCCTCCTCCTCCTCCTCCGTCCTATTCCTCTTACTCGTCCTCCTCCTCCACTTCCTCCTCCTCCTCCTCCTCCTCCTCCTCCTCCTCCTCCTCCTCCTCCAAAGGGGGTTTTAGGGGGAGGGGGTTTTCCAGAGAGCCCCCTGGGGGCCTCAGAACCTCGTCAAAACAGGGGGCGGGAAGCCCCTGGGGGACCCCACCTGGAAGACCCCCCCTCCCCAGAACCCCCCTTTGGCACCCTGCGGTTTCTTCTGGGCACGCCGGGGGAGGCGAGAAGGCGGCGTGCATCTGCCTGCGGCTGCCGGGCGCGGGGCGCCGCAGGTAGCCTTCAGTCGGGCGTGCCCCTCTGCGCCATGCGTCTGCCTGCGGATGCCACGCGGAGGGGCGCCGCAGGCAGCCCAGCCTTGTCTCGCCTCCCCTTTGCCTCTCGCCTTCCTCGCAGGGCGGTGCGCTGCGCCCAATGGGGGCAACGGCGCCCGCGCTAGTGCCTCTTCACCGGAGCCCCTTGCCGCGCGTCAGCCTCAGAGCCGTGTTCTGGGCACGCCGGGGGAGGCAAGGAACGTTTGTGGGGGGAGGCAGCGATCCCCCCCCGCCCACTCATCACCGATGGGGCTCCGGTAGCTCACCACGCCCAGGGCCGTGCGGATTTGCAATCCGGGGCCCACCGCCGATCTCTTTACCATGCATCGCCCATTCGAGCTCGATGTTACCCCCCCTGAGCTGGCCCCCCCTGACGTCACCTCTCGACGACGCCTCCACAAACACGCACGAGGCGTGTTTCGCATCAGAGGCGCATTCCCAGGCCGAGGGCGAGCGAGGACGCTGCCCGCTCCGCGCACGAGACGCGGGGCACGGCGCGTTCCCGCCGCCTTGCCTGGCCTCTGCACTTCCTCGGACTGCTTGGCAGCTCCTTGGCCGCTTTGCCTGGCCTCTGCACTTCCTCGGACTGCTTGGCAGCTCCTTGGCCGCTTTGCCTGGCCTCTGCACTTCCTCGGACTGCTTGGCAGCTCCTTGGCCGCTTTGCCTGGCCTCTGCACTTCCTCGGACTGCTTGGCAGACATGCGGCGCCCCGAGTTGTTCAGGAGGCGTCCCTGGCAGTCCGGACCCGTTCCCCAGGACCGGTTTCTCAGCCCGAGTCGTTGTTTGACGCTCCCGGGGCCCAGCGAGAGCCCTCAGGGGCCGAAAATAGCGAAAGACCTCCCGTCCTGATTTTTGTTCCGACGCGATCATGTCTGGGTCCAGGGCCGAGGTGGAGTCCGTGCAGCCCAAGGGGGGCAAGAGGCTCAGGCTCCGCTGCAGGTAATTAATGTGCGCGAGGCGGCGGCGGCGCTGCGGTCAGATACCCCCCCCCCCGGATGGGATGGGGGGGCTGCAGGTAATGTGCGCGAGGCGGCGGCGGCGCTGCGGTCAGATACCCCCCCCCCCGGATGGGATGGGGGGGGGGGAGGAGGAGGAGGAGAGGAGGAGGAGGAGGAGGAGGAGGAGGAGGAGGAGAGGAGGAGGAGGAGGAGGAGGAGGAGGAGGAGGAGGAGGAGGAGGAGGAGGAGGAGAGGAGGAGGAGGAGGAGGAGGGAGCGAGGGAGGGAGGGAGGGAGGGAGGAGGAGGAGGGAGGGAGGGAGGAGAAGGAGGAGGAGGAGGAGGAGGAGGAGGAGGAGGACAGGGGGGGACAGGAGAAGGAGAGGAGAGAGGAGGAGGAGGAGGAGGAGGAGGAGGAGAGGAGGAGGAGGAGAGGGAGGAGGAGGAGGAGGAGCAGGAGGAGGAGGAAGAGGAGAAGGAGGAGGAGGAGGAGGAGGAGGAGGACAAGCTGGAAGCGGCGGGGCTCGAGAAACACCACTACTTCACACTTCTCCGCACCTACGTGAACGGCGCGGTGACGCACCTGCAGCGCGCCCGCCTTGCGCCAAGGGGGGCCTGGCGTTCCTTCGACGACGCGGTGGTGGCGCAGGTCGAGCGCCTGGCCGGCCTGGGCTTCACTGAAGACGGCCGCGCGGTCCTCTTCCTCCCCGGGAAGGCAGGGGAAGCCGGCTTCGGGTCCGCGGAGCGCCGCGCCGACGCGGCCTGGCTGGGCTCCTGGCGCGCCGTGCAGGACGCGGCGCGGGCGCGACAGGAGAAGCCAACCCTGGCGGAGGCAGAGGCCGCGACGCCGAGGCTGACGGCCGCTGCGGCAAAGGCGAAGGTCCGCCTCCGGGCAGGGGGGGCCCTCGTCCCGCTGGACCCGCGGTGCGAGGTCAAGCAGCGCACCTACACGAAGCATCTGGCGGCCCGCGCGCACGCCGAGCTCCGCGCGCGCCTCGCCGAGCCCGCGGCGGAGCTCCTCCTGTCCCAATGCGGGACTGGCGCAGTGGTGCTGCAGCCGCCGAGCTTGCCGCAACACCTTCTGGGAGACGAATTCGCGGTCACGCTGCGGCGGCGCCTGCTGTGCCTCGACCCAGCAGGCCAGGGCGGCGCCCCGTGCCAGAACAGGGCCGCGTCTACGGGCGCGCAGTGCGGGGCCAACACGGCCAGAACCCCACGCGAGGCACGCGGCCGTCTACAACGTCGGGCCCGGCTCCGTGCGCTGGCACCACGGCGTCCGCGACCATTTGGGCGATGGGTTGGCGGAGCGTCATGGCTCTCAGTCCTTGACGATTGAGCAGCGCGTCCCATCCTGGGACGCAGTGGCCGCGGAGGGCACCCAAGCAGCCGTCCTCGACGTGGTCCTGGCGCATCCGGGCGGCGCGTGTGCATCGACACGAGCGTGACCGAGGCCATCGCCGCCGAGGGCGCGACCGCGCGCGGGCGCGCCCGCGTCGCCGGCGCAGCGGCCCGGGAGCGGGAGCAGGAGAAGCACTCCCGCTACCCCAGCCCAGGCCTGGTGGCCGCGGTGGTGGAGAGCGGCGGCCGCCTGGGGCGCGAGTTCGACTCGTTCCTGCGCGAGCACGCCCCGGTGGACCCCGAGACCAGGGCCGCTGCCCTCGCGCGTGGTCGTGGCCGTCGCGCGTGGCACTGCGGCGATGCTGCTCAGCAGCGCCGGGGTGCGTGCCACACCCTGGCCGCCCCCCGCCTAAGGGCTGGGCCGCGGCCGCGCCCGCCGGTGAGCTGAGCCTCGCCTGCCCCCTCCCTCTTCCGCTCCTCTTCCGCCTCTTTCTCCTTCCCCTCAGGCAGCGTGAATTAGTTAACTCCTCCCCCGCGCCCCCCCCCTCTGCTCTCTGCGCTGCTTGCCTGTTCCCCCTCCTCTTCGTCCTGTGTCCCTCGCCCCTCCCTTCTCGTGCTCTCCTGTTTCTCCTGGCTCCGTGGCCTCCCTCGCTCCTCTCGCCCGCCCCCGTCCTCCGTCTGGTCCGCCCCTCGCCCCCGTCTGCTTGCTGGGGGCCGCGGCGTTTAACTAATTGGGGGTGTCAGCTGTAGTCTCCGCAGGGTGTCGCGGAGATTGTCCGGAGTGGCGCCGGGCCGCGCTGGCCCGCTTGCCCGGCAGGGTCGGCGGGCCCAGCGCCAACGCCAGACGGCCTGCATCAGCAGCTGGGCAGGGGCAGTGTGGATCGGACGTGCAGTCTCGCCCCCTGCTTCTGCCTGCTGGCCCGCCTCTGTCCTCTCCATTGTTGGCACGAGGAGGGGGAGGAGGAGGAGGAGGAGGAGGAGGAGGAGGAGGAGGAGGAGGAGGAGGAGGAGGAGGAGGAGGAGGAGCAGAGGAGGAGGAGGCGGAGGAGGAGGAGGAGGAGGGGGGGGAGGGGGGGAGGAGGAGGAGGAGGAGGACGAGGAGGAGGCGGAGGAGGAGGAGGAGGAGGAGGCGGAGGAAGAAAAGGAGGAGGAGGAGGATGAGGAGGAGGAGGGTGCCCCCCCCCACCCCCGGGTGGCACCGTGTATTTGTGCCCCAGCCTCTCGGGCGCCTCTCGCCGTCGGGGCCCCTGTGCGCCTGCTTTGCCACAAGTTTTTTCCCCAGGGTCTGGGCGAACAGCTCGGTTCGTCGGGTTCCCAGACGTGCTCGCGTCGTGAAAAAAAATAAGGACTGGAGGCTGTTCATCCCTCATCGGGTGGGCCGCGCGTGCTGCAAACGTGGATGCAGACTGCGGCTAATATTGCTTTTTGACGGGGATGGTGGGGGGCGGGCCCGCATGGAGTCGGCATGGTTCCGCGTTGGTCGCCGGCCGAGTGGGGGAGGGGGAGTATATCGATAAGGAACACTGATAAACCTTTCCCCGCATGGGAAGAAGGGGCTGAAACAAAACGGGCTTTCTAAACCACCTCCGCCCACAGGGGTGGTGGGATGCCAGCGACCGTTCGGCGTAGTAAGACGGACATATTGCATGTACTTGGGAGGATGGGACGTGTAACAGAGCGGGTGGATTGCAGTATCGGTGAGGTTGTTGGTTTCGATATGGCCTTTGTTCTCCTCTTGCTCGTCCCCCCACGCTCTTCCGCTCGTCAGCCGCCTGCTTCTGCTCCCTCACTCCTCTGTTGGCGCGAGCTCAGGCGCGAGAGCGTGCCGCCGCGCCTGGTGCTCACCTGGCTGCGTCCGTGCGAGGCTCGAGCTCGATCTTGCAGCCTTAGCCTGCGCCGCAGCGCGGTCGTGCATCCCTCTCTCAGCAGGAGCAGGAAGAGTCGGTGTTCAGGGCACCTGGCCCTGCACCTGGCTATGTCTGATTGCTCTGCTGTCGTTTCAGAAGCCTGGGGTGAACCTGACATGCAGGTAAACCCACCCCAGCCTTGTGTGCACATGTGTGTCTTTTGCGGCACGTGCTGCATATGTGTCAGGGCCTAACTGTAGCCCCCCTCGGTCCTGCCCACTGGTTCGCAGAGGAAAAAAATCCTCCTCCTCCTCCTCCTCCTCCTCATCCTCCTCATCCTCCTCATCCTCCTCATCCTCATCCTGCTGTTGCTGCTGCTGACACGATGGGTGGAATGGATCCGAATCGTCCACTACGTGAATTAGAGAAGGTGAGAGTCACCCATGAAGGGCGCCCCCCAGTGCACAGTCATGCTGCAACCCGAACTCCAAGAATGGATCCAGGGGGACGAGAAACCCCCATCGCAGCCTCGGGCACTTCGTTATCAGGAGCACCGAGTGGGGTCCCCGCGGGTACATCCTCGAGGAGCACACCAGCAAAGAAACGGCATAAGTTAGACGGGTACTCGTTGAACCCCGCAATGCGGAATCCAGTCCCACCCTCCCGACGACCGACCGCGGCCACGTGCCCTCCTGGGTGCTGGCACCTCCCCCCCCCCGCCAGCACCTGGCGAGCCGAATCAGACTCGGCGCATGGACCCCGAGCAGACGGGCGGGCTTGAAGAAATCACATCCGAACATACACTGATCAGTGCAAACGGTGCTAGCGCACTGCAATGACGCAACCCACGCCATCTCAGGAAACCTCCAGGACGACGCTCCTCCTCTCCTCCAGGGCACTTCGGGATGCTCCATGATGCAACACATGCACGCCCGCACAAGCACAAGTTACAAGAAACCTCACCGTCGTCCTCAGCAAATCGCTGCCCACGGCAACTTGGCGGCGCTCAGCGGTGGTGAGGCTGGGGATCCCCCACGGCGCCTCGCTGCTGCGGACTGGCCTAGGCCCAGAGGTACCGGCCATGGGGGACACACCGAGCGGTAGACCAGGTCTCGCAAGGGGGCCCACACATCACCCCCACGACGACCCCCTGAGTGACTATACCCAACCAGTGCTTGATGTTGCCTTCGTCCCGGAGGCCCCCGCGAATCATTCGCGACATCGTCCGCTGCGTTCCCCGCGTGGTGCACTTTGCTCCTGCGTGTTCCTCTTACGTGCGGGCGGTGCTGACGTAGCGCAGGCGTTCCGAGGCAGCGATTTTTCCCGCGCGCTGGAAGCATATGATCCAGGTGCTCGCTCCGTGATCCGAAGGCTGCGGAAGGTCATGTAGAGCAGACGCGGGGGGAGAGAAAACAAAAAAAAAAAACGCGACATCCACGGGCAACACCCACAGGGGCCGAGTGAGCGCAGAGCAGACATTCGCTTCCTCAATCCAGTGCTGGAGGTCCCTCGGCCGACGCTGCCCCGAAAAAACAGCGGAGCACAGAAACGCCACCGAGGTCGTCCCGCGGAATCGCCCCCGAGGGGGGGCGGCTCCCCGTGCTCCTCCGCTTCCTTCTCCTCCTCCTCCTTTTCCTCCTCCTCCTCCTCCTCCTCCTCCTCCTCCTCGTCCTCCTCCTCCTCCTCCTCCTCCTCCTCCTCCTCCTCCCCCCCCTCCTCCTCCTCCTCCTCCTCCTCCTCCTCCTCCTCCTCCTCCTCCTCCTCCTCCTCCTCCTCCTCCTCCTGCTCCGCGGAACCATCTTCATGTCGACACGAAAAGAAAACAATTTTTCCCTTTTTCCGAGAAATGCTTCGAGAAGCTCTCTCTTTCGACTCTGAGCACTCTTACGCGTGACAGGAGCTCTACGAGGTTCCCGGCGGTGATCAGGTTGACGGTTAACCGCCGGCGCCAGTTTGCATTTCTCGGTGTCAACGTGACGTCCGTTCCTCCAAATGTTTGGATCGTAAAACTGTCTCGAAAGAGCTGAGCTGCTCGCAGAATAAAGTTAAGATACTAATGCTCGGAGTGAAAATCTTCTTTATTAAATGAATTGTCAAATACCTTTCAAATCGTAGCAAAAAACGACCCAAAGTTTTCACAGCTTCTTTTCTAGCCGGGTCGACCAACCAGCTGCGCCCCGCGCCGGAATTCCTCTAGCTCATCGATAACGAAGAGCTCTACGAGGTATAACTCGTAGAGCTTCCCCTAGCAAGTTATAACTCGTAAACCTCCCCTTAGCAAGTTGTTGCTGGAAGCTTAAGAGAAATTCCGGAGCGCTGGAGAGCTAGTAACTCGTAGAGCTTCCCTCAGCAAGTTGTAACTCGTAGAGCTTCCCTTAGCAAGTTATTGCTGGAAGCTTAAGAGTAATACCTCGTAGAGCTCTTGGTTATACCTCGTAGAGCTCTTCGGCATCGATGAGCTAGAGGAATTCCGGCGCGGCGTGGAGCTAGTTGGCCGACCCGACCAGAAGAGAATGTGACAACTTTCGGTCGGTACCTCGTAGAGCTTCGGCATCGATGAGCTAGAGGAATTCCGGCGCGGGGTGGAGCTAGTTGGCCGACCCGGCCAGAAAGGACAAAGTGATAACTTTTGGGTGGTTTTGCGAAAAATTGAAGGACATTTGACAATTGATTTTGAGAAAGCAGATTTTTCGCACCTTTAGTGGGTTATGCCGCGTCCGCCAGTAAAATTTTCAGGCCCATAGGTGCAGTATAACTATCGAAACACTTGGCGGAACCGACGTTGGATAACAACAGAAAATCGTTTTTTCTTGATGTTTCCGTTTCTCGCTTCAGAAGCTTTCATCATGAGTTCCGACGATCGCCTTGCAACGAAAGAGCTCTACGAGGGTCCTGGCGGTAACCTGGTTGACGGTTTACTGCCGGTTCCCAGTTTTGCTAAGATTTGAAAGATATTTGGCAATTCATTTTGAGATAGCAGATTTTTCGCACCTGTGAACGATTATGAGGGCCTCTGCGTCTTAATATGAGCTCTGTAGGCGCACATTTACTATCAAAACACTCGGCGGAACCAATTGCAGATCGACATGAAAAAAATAAATGTTGCCTTTTTCGCGAAATGCTTCCAGAAGCTTTCTCGGTCGATTCTAAGCACTCTCACCCGTGGAAGGAGCTCTACGAGGTTCCCGGCGGTGACCAGGTTGACGGTTCACCGCCGGCGCCAGTTGATGAGCTAGAGGAATAACTCGCAGAGCTTCCCTTAGCTAGTTGCTGGAAGCTTACGAGTAACTCGTAGAGCATCCCTTAGCTAGTTGCTGGAAGCTTAAGAGTAATACCTCGTAGAGCTCTTCGGCATCGATGAGCTAGAGGAATTCCGGCGCGGGGTGGAGCTAGTTGGTCGACCCGGCCAGAAAGAACTAAGTGATAACTTTTGGGTGGTTTTGCAATTTTTTGAAAGATATTTGACAATTCATTTTGAGAAAGCAGATTTGTCGCACCTGTAAACGACTACGAGGGCCTCTCTGTCTTAGTATGAGCTCTGTAGGCGCACTTTTACTATCAAAACACCTGGCGGAACCATCTTCATGTCGACACGAAAAAAGTCAATTTTTCTTTTTTTCGAGAAATGCTTCCAGAAGCTCTCTCTTTCGACTCTGAGCAGTCTTACGCGTGAAAGGAGCTCTACGAGGTTCCCGGCGGTGACCAGGTTGACGGTTCACCGCCGGCGCCAGTTCCGGCGCACTGGAGAGCTAGTTGGCAAGAAAAATCTCGACGGACTTTTTGCTGACCTTGAGTCGGTTGAAAATTTTGTTTTCGAAATAACTCGTAGAGCTCCCCTTAGCTAGTTGCTGGAAGCTTAAGAGTAATTCCGGAGCGCTGGAGAGCTAGTTGGCAAGAAAAAACTCGACGGACCTTTGGCTGACTATTGGTCGGTTGAAAATTTTGTTCTCGAAATTCAACAATTCGTTTGAGCTCTAGTATTTTTTCTGACCATATCCGATCTTATTCCCGCTCGCCATCTTGATCTCAGCTCGATCGGGTAAATATTTCTGCGAAAAGGCATCGCGGCGGGATCGGCAGTTTCGAGTCATCTTGATACGCGTTGTCGGTATTTTGTACTTAACTCGAGCTGTAGGGCAGCTACAGATCTCATTCTCACAGAAATCGATTGCGAATCATCAGGCGCGTTCGTCTGTTCCATCTAGAGGTCTGAACTCGCTCTGCTGCCCGAGCTAGGTTCGCGAAACTGTTCGTGTTGTTGGAGTCATCTTGGGTGCTGACAGTTTTCTGCACTTAACGCGGGCTGTAGGGGAGCTATTGGGCTCGTACTCACAGGAATCGATTCGGAGACATCAGGCGCGTCTGCCTGCCGAATCCAGAGCTCGGAACTCGGCGTGCCGCCCGAGCTAGGTTCGCAAAACTATTCGTATTTGTCGAGTCATCTTGAGAGGTGCTGTCCGTTTTCTGCACTTAACACGAGCTGTAAGGGGGCTGCAGGGCTGGTAATCACTGGAATCGATTCGGAGACATCAATCGCGTCCACCTGTCGCATTCAGAGCCCTGAACTCGGTCTGCTGCCCGAGCTAGGTCCGCGAAACTA